ATAATTTCGCCTAAGCTGTATTAATCGATATTTTTGTTTATTTGATTTTGTACGTAGATTAGCTTGACAACTCTATTTTGAAACAAAAAATTGCCTAAAAATAATTTTGTTAAGTTTGACGCAAGCATAATTCACATTTCCCATTATTAATACTCAATGGGATTGTTATTATCTGATTTCTACTGTCAGTTTGTTTTATCGTAGCAGTTGACATAAGACAGAGAGAGAGAGAGCGATAGAGAAATGACATAATTATGATTATTAGAGGTAGCAAGACAACAAACTATTTCTCCCTTGAAATAAAGATTACTCAGCGTTAAGCGCATTAGGCTGTCAACTATTTCCATTTTTGATAACAACTTACTTCTTATTCGCAGGCAACAGTTTGTTTTTCTAATATATCGTCATAATCCATTTCCTGGGTAAATTTTAGGCAGGTTAAGCTGACAATACCGTGAGAATTGTCAGATGGGAATCAGCGCTGACTTATTGACTCAGGAGAGCTGTGTGTGTGTTTTTGGTAGTGGGTGGGTGGTTGTCAATTCCCGACTGCTGACACCGTGGAAGTTGATTTTCTGTCAGTACCTGAGGTAGAAAGAGCATTAGCGTTGCATGAGTGCAGACCACAGGGAACAATACCTGTGGCTAATCATACACAACCATTGGGAATTACTTTTTGAGGTTATGTCCATATTAAGATCCTACCGCCGGCTATGGACAGCCACAACGTAATTCGTAATGCACAATTTTCGAAGTCAGCCTTTTCTAATCTTCATCTTTCTAAAGCGCAGAGGCGGCATAGCTAACATGCTGTTCATCTGAGCGAAACGCCTTGCTGCCAGTTCATCCCTATTCTTCAGCAGTGAAACTTTACACACAGACACCAAGCATAGTGTAAACAACTTACACTGTGGTGGTAACTTTTTTTAGTCTAACCGCTACAGAAACAGTCTTCCTTCAGCAACATTAGTTCCAGTCATCGTAGCTCATTGGGTCATTGAGATATGCAAACCCGACCACCACGTCAATGTATCACCTATCGATCGAGCAGCCAGTGCAGCTATCTCCAAACATTGGTCAGCTGATCACGAAGCATCGATCATATATGTATCCTTTAGCTAATGACTTCACGTTAAATGCATGAAACAGTTAGTGTGGTGGCGATTATTTTACCCCCAGGCATAAAGAAAACGATGATCAATTCTTGACTGGCCAGATGTAGTGTATTTCTTAAAAAGAGTAACTTGACGGTGAATTCGTCGACGTTGTTATTGATTGAAGCACGGTCAAATCACCGAGATAATTTAATTATCTTCAAGGTTACAAGAAAACCTGTGTAGAACAGTTCTAACACGTTGGAAATCTGGATAACCTTGAGATTCCTGCCGATTGATTACCTTTCAGATAGATAAACAAAGATGTTGCAACAAAGTAGACTGCTATGAAGTGGCTAAAATGAAGATAGATATTTTATAAGGTATTCCCTTCAAAGGTAGAAGATTTTATGTCTCAAATTTGGACGTATGATAGTTTCATTGATCAGTTTTCAACCTTATACGACACTTCAATTTCTAACAAAACCCATTAAAAACCAGGGAGCATTGGACAGCTGTTTACCCCAGTGTTTTGGGACTCTTCATCAGCACTCAACCCTAACTCCACAAAGGATCAAACACAGGAACCTCAGATTGTGCACTCAGCTTATCAAATCGTTTAAAACTGAACCCATAAACTTTCTTTTTATCACACACACTACAACTACCATGGATTGATAATTAAACTTCACATACAACTGAAAAAATATAAGTAGTTGATTTCTCTTGAATGGTTGTCAGTGGAAATAGCGTTAATTACTTCTCATTACTGGAGTTCCGAGTGCAACACCTGACTCAAGGCTCTAAAGTTTCGATGTCAGCAATGTTGTTTTTGTTTAGTAGGGTTTCTAGCCTCAATCCTAACCTTCTGTCTGTTTTCAAGTATATTATCGGCCAGTAAGCCAGGTGAAATTTAGGTGTTTGTTGACTAGGAACAGAACCCGGATCTCTTGCGTGATTAGAGAACAGTCTTCCAATAAACCACAGACTCTCAAGCACTATCACAGTAAAACGCACGCATGTACCATACATCCGCATGGTCGCGCACTGTCTCATCACCCTTGACACATACAGCAATGAAAATTCACGGGAGCATTCTGGAAATGCCATCTCAATTGGACTGAGTTAGAAGTAACTTTTTAACTAAACATTTTCAACTCGACTTATATATTTCTGAATTGGTTCTCTGTGTATTTAAAAAAGATAAGACTTCAATGAAGTGAACGAGTATGGCTGATTATTTTTCCAATAAGCAATAAATGCTGTCATGATAATTCTTATAAGGGTCCCATTAACTGAATGGTCTTCAAGCTTGTCTAGTAACCAGATGATCCTAGGTCCAAACTGAGGTGGGTGTGCACTGATGAAAAGCAGCAAATTATGATGAAACAGCTATCAAGTAGTCCCTGATTAAAGGTGTGTCACTGGTTCAGGAGTGGAATGTTTGCCAACCAAGAATGTAGTCGGAGTATAGTCCTAAACTCACACCGGTATTAAGACAGGAAAAGAAAAAAGTCTGGGTGAGAAGCCAGCAAACCTGCCCTTTAGAAAACTTAAAGTCTTAGCGCTAGAAGGTAGTTGTTCCCCTCACGACACAAAGAAATATATATATATGAATATAATTCTACTATGCTGTAATTCCACAATTTATTACAAAGAATTCAATGAATTTTCTACGCATGTATATAAACAAAGTTAGAAAGTTGTTTGATTAACCTGATGTGATTATGAACAAAAAATTGTGCTCGATGCCTCATCAGTTAGTGTATAGCAATGTGAAACTTTATGAAAATAAAATCTTTATCCATAAAGGAATTATGCTTAACCACAGTGTCAAAATTCTATCCCAATATCAATAATAACAGTAACAGCTTTATTCTGAACAATGTTTACATAATGAACAGAATTTTCAGCGGAATTTATTGCAGTGAGAGCATACTGGTGAATACCGCTTTAGAACTAGGACAAAACAGATATCCAGTACTCCTGGGTTCCACCATGACCCTCTACTCAATGTCAGCTCACGATGAAATTCTGTAACTTCAAAATATTTACGCTCTTCTCCTAACAACTGAAATTCATCCGGTTATGAAACGGCGTAATACAATACTAAATAGCCTGGTGACAAATGGTCAAAAATTATCGGTAATACTACTGGCCATGCATTAAACGTATCACATTATGAGTAGAACAGATTTCGAGCTCAGTACTATTAGGTATTAGATGGGGAATCGAAATTTTTATGATTCGCAGAAAGCTAAACACGACAATTCCTTCTGTTTATTGTAGTAATAATAATGATAACAATAATAGCATTATTCTGCACTATGTTTATATACTGTACGGAAACCGCAACAGAGTTTATTGCATTGTGTTTTCTCTTGGTCTAGGATCTTTCAGTAAAAGGTTAATTAACACCAGATCGTGCAGTTCAGTTCTATATGACCTGAAGCGCAAACTAATCGATGGGAAAGTCTAAAAATTGAATTATATAATTATTAAGACGTATAGCGCAAGAGGCGACTCTCATGGCCCAAGTGGTCTAGTGGATAGCACTTTGCCGTTTGAAACTATGGCCACTGGGTTAGAGCCTCGATGAGAACAAACACCATCATCTACTGGTGAATGCAGCTATATCTAATGACGAATCCCAATTAGGACGAAATGCGCATCCTGAATTCCATTGCTAGTCACTATCCAACAATCGACCCTTTCTTTTTATCCTTCGACAGAGTAAACGAATTGACCTCTCACACAAACAAACAAAATCACTTCACTCAGCTGGCTCTGTGTCAACCAAAAGACTCAACAGCGGAAGAAGATAAAACCAACATCTTTTGCAAAATAAATTGTAACAACTGCGGGAAACACTACACTGGCCAAGGTGGACGTCCGTTTCATCTTCGTATCCAAGATCATTAGCTAGCCGTCAAAAGACATGACATCCACTCCACCACTCGTATCACTACATACAAACAACCACGGACATCAGTTCGACTAGGACAACGTTCAAATATTAGACAGAGAAGTTTTAGAAGCCAGCCTGGTATTCCAGTGAATCATCAACCAATAGACACATCGAGATAGACAAAATTTATCAACCGATCAAAAAGAAACCTCACAGACAAAGGGTCAAAGTTCAAGTCAAAGAAACAACCAATTCCAATACATGTAGCCTAGAGGGTGTTAGAACGCACAAAAACAATCAATCACGTCCAAGTCATCCGTCAGGAGAGATGATTAATAAACTCGTGGAGAAATCGAAAAGCTGATTTCAATAGATTGAAGTATGCACTGAAGATGTTGCCTAGTAGGGTAGATCGATGAAAGCTTCGCGAATTATCTATTTAGCTCAGAGAACACAACCACATCAAAATAAACGACATTCTGTTGAGTGGTAATTATAAGAAGTTCAATAGTACATTTCGTAAACCAAGGATACCACTCAGGAACGGTCATCTCATGTAGTGAAATAAGCTGCCATCGAGGATAATGCTTTTCTCTCATATTTAGTAGAAACTTACAAATGAGCAGGTTGTAAATGTTTGAAATACTCGCCATAAGAGGCCATATTTTACTAGATTTGAACAAACCAAATAAGAGAAACTATATGCAACATATGGATGGAGATTTTCGTTAGCCCAAATTTTAATCAGACCGCCAATAATCATTAGGTTTTAAACATGCATAACTATTCAAATCATAAAACTTTTGAAAAAAAAAATGGTCAACTGTCATGTAGCTATTCTGACAGGGAACCAATTCTGTTCGATTTTTCAGTCTCAACTTACACCAACCTCATGAATTACATGTTCAGTTAATTTCAAATAACAAGTAATTATGTCAACATCACGTTAACTTTTCTTTTTCATATTTCTGCTTTTTTTTTCTTCAATTATTTCATAGAATGAAGATTCAGCAAAAACGGCCGGTGTATCTTTGTCGTCAGTTGATGGCTTGCATGAAATTACGTCTTATCCAAATGCTGAAAATTTGAACTTTGATGATAATCATGGACTATTGATTGTATCCGCTGGGACAGTTACACGTAAGCCTAGTCCAACTGCAGATGCACTGGGCTCAGCTGAAGTAAGTTTCAGGATTACGAAAGAACGAATAAGCTATACCTATGCAAAATAATCTTAAAGCTAGGGATAATATGATCTCAAATTCCAGCTGAAAGACTGGATGTATATGAGATAATTTTTTTCAACTGTGTGACAAATCTTAAAGTATGTTTATTATTATTATTATTATTCATTTGGGTTTCGAGTGGAACATGGGGCTTCAACAACACATCTCCACTTCGTTTTCATTTTCTGCTGTCTTCCTCATTGGGTCTAAAATTAGTCAAAATCTCTCATCTCCTCCACATCACAAGATTTCCTCCATGTCACCTTCGCATCGACAATCCTCTTGTCGTAGTCCATTTGGATTCCACTGGAGGGTCTGACTTGCGATGGTATCCGATGGTTTCCTCAATGTATGCCCGATCCATTTTCATTTTCTCCTTCATATTTGTTGAGCAGTCGGCCGGTTTTCGGTTCACTGTCGGCCTAAGTTTCCATTTGCTAATTCTTTCTGGCCGGCCATCTAATCTTCAGTATGGAGCAAAGGCAGCTGTAGATAAAAAGTCTGCAACGGGCTGTTGGAAATCTTTTTCGTATAATAATTAATGCTAAACACCTTTATCAGTTTGAATGAATCGAGGATTTCGTCATGAGCTGATACCAGCTAGAGAACCAATGGAAAACCAACTGGGAATACTGGACAGCTGCTTCATCCTAGTTTGGGACTCTTCAGCAGTGCCCACACATCGCCAGGGTTCAGACTCAGGGCCTTCTACTTACAAGGCGAGCTCGTAGACCAATGAGCCACTGGGACCCGATCCAATGGCCAACCAGTGCATGAATTCTAACTTCCTCCAATTCACGGTACAGCGCGACCACTTCGCAATACCTTCTTCGATGAGTTACTGCTGGCTCATATTCAACCTGCTGTACCCTACTGGTCACGGCTTCCCACTAGAACCTCAGGTTAACTGCCTGAATAGGGCCAGTCACTAGTGAGCATCAGATTAATTTTCAAGTATTGGTTTTTGTAGGGATTTTGTTTGATTGCATGGAGGATTTCATCATCAGCTGACATCAGTTATCAGTTATTTTTATTAACTTAATTACAGTCAGCGATTCACTGATAAATTCGGCTCAGAATAACAGTTATAGTAATAATCCCTTAATTCCAAACGACAATAACACTTATACAGAATAGAATCTTCAGCGTTTAGATATATATATATATGTATATAAATATATTGCCACAATTTAGCTCCTTTTACAAATAAGTAGTTACATGAAACTAGAAAATATTGACGAAACGACAAAAAGACTGAAGGTTAGCGGGAATATAATGATATTCAAGTGTTGGTTTGCTAGGATTTGATTGACTGGTTACATTATTTCATCATCAGCTGACATCGGTTAGAGGTTAGACTATTAGACTGTAGGTTAGACTATTGGAAAAACTGAGAGTACTGGACAGCTGTTTCGTCCCGCTAGTTTGTGACTATTCAGTGGTACACACCCGCAACCAGCGTTCGATCGAATCCAGGACCTTCCGGTTAAAGGCTAATTCTTTGACCATTAATTCCAACTGCTGACAATTCATGAATAGTTTCGATATATTTTTAGTGGGGAGTCGTGATCAGTAGGGTGCTGCAGGTCGAGTGTGAGAACAAATACTCGCCATATTCGCTAGTAGTCAAGCCATATCGTGAATTAGCAGAGGTTGTAATTCATGAACTGGCCGCTGGATCGGGTCCCAGTGGCTTAATTGTCTACGACCTAGCCTTGTAACCATAAGATCCTGGGTTCGAACCCTGATGGTGGGTGAGTAATGCTGAAGAGTGACAAACTAGGCGGAAACACCTGTTCAGTACTCCTTGCTGGTCTTCCAACGGTCCTCTGACCGATATCAGCTCATGCTGAAATTCTGGAAACATTATCAGTTATAAATACATAATATGATAGATGATACATGTAATAATAATAATTTCTGCTTGTACCTTGCAGTCCAGTAACTGATTTGAAAAGTTTATAAGTTCTTTTCTGACATTTGAATCCTCACACAAAACCCCTACTAAATATGATATGGGGAATTTCTATATTTAGTAACTGTAAAGGCATAAATTCTTATGAAGTTTCTTCTCATTTCAACCCCCAAGATATACAAGACAAAAGTTGAGAGTAAGTAGAAAGGATGTTCGGTATCATACAAGATAACTTTAGCCGACCACCTGGAAGCATTGAAGTGCCTATTGACAATAATGTCAGTTAGTTGAGTCACAGGCACACCACTAATCCTACATACAATTCTTAAGTGTTCTACGCAATGTGATATGATATAGTCTTTTTTGAGATGTCCAGGGAAGAATAAGTTGAAGGAGGGGGGACAGTAATGAAGTAGAATGGCCAGAATCTATTAATCAGTAACCTGTAAGAGAAGAGGTGAGGTTGAATTATTGCCAGCAGTAAGTCTCAACTCCTTCATTGTGTAATAAGTCAAACGAAAATAATAGCATTCTTAGAAATCAACAAGATTTGAGACAACACCTTTAGAGGAGATCTGAAGAAGAACTGATGGCAAGCTACCAGATATTCGATTTACCCCCTATCCTACAGCCGTCAATAATACAGGTACCATGAGACTGGATCAGTCCACGTAAGTTTTTCTCGAATCTGAAACTAAAGTCAACAGTATGACATTTAGGTGAATTCAGTTTAAGACCATTTAGGTGAGACCACTTGTGTACGTCAGATAGGAACCTGTTCATGCAAGAACAATCCGATGCAGAAACTATTAGGACCTGAAAACCACATATTGAAGGTCACAAAAGCAGATGCAGCAATTTAAACGTTTTGAATGAATGGTTCTGAAGAATCTATTTATAACTCAGCAATACTACCGGACAGAAGAATTAAAATCCAATTAATAGGTACCCACTATACTCCTGTAGTACCGCTTAGGGTGTGAAGTCCCCTAATTACTGATGATGTAGGACAGTGTTTATTGTACATTTGAAATAGTCAGGAAGACTTTAACAAAAAGTAGGTATTATTTGAACTTAGAGGGTGAATGATGACATGATGTTGACAAATCTAAAGTGCTACCATCTAATGTTATAACTGGGGTTTGAATGCGTGCTGATGTGATGTCAGAACTCAAAACAAACTATCTGTTTATCACACTTTGATGTTGATGATTTTTCACTTGGTACCAGACTGCGGTAACAGGGAGTTTTAAGAATTTCTTGACAAACATGAAATAAACCAGTATAGTCTGTTGTAAGCTCCGATCTGCATTCGATACATTCTTTACGGTTTATCAATTACAACAGAACGTGAAGCGAGATTTCCTTTAAAATGCTCAAAACATTTACTGAAAATGGATTATGAATTTTGATGTGGTTGTGTTCTCTGAGCTAGATAGTTAATTCGCGAAGCTTTCATCGACCTACCCCTACTAGGCAACATCTTCAGTGCATACTTCAATCTATTGAAATCAGCTTTTCGATTTCTCCACGAGTTTATTAATCATCTCTCCTGACGGGTGACCTTTGATGTGATTGATTGTTTTTGTGTGTTTTCACACCTTCTAGGCTACATGTGTTGGAACTGATTGTTTCTTTGATTTGAACTTTGACCCTTTGTCTGTGAGCTTTTTTCTCATCACTTGATAAATTTTGTCTATCTCGATGTGTCTGTTGATTGATGATTCACTGGAATACCAGTCTGGCTTCTAAATATTCTGTAGCATTCTTGTTGTTTCGACTGGGACAATGTTCAAATATTAGACAGAGGAAACAACAAGAATGCTAGAGAATTTTTGGAAGCCAGACTGGTATTCCAGTGAATCATCAATCAACAGACACATCGAGATAGACAAAATTTATCAACCGATAAGAAAGAAACCTCACAGACAAAGGGTCAAATTTCGAGTCAAAGAAACAATCAGTTCCAACACATGTAGCCTAGAAGGTGTGAAAACACACAAAAACAATCAATCACGTCCAAGGTCACCCGTCAGGAGAGATGATTAATAAACTCGTGGAGAAATCGAAAAGCTGATTTCAATAGATTGAAGTATTCGCTGAAGATGTTGCCTAGTAGGGGTAGATCGATGAAAGCTTCGCGAATTAACTATCCAGCTCAGAGAACACAACCACATCAAAATTATCCCCACCTGAGCTACAAATCTTCTCTATCATATGGATTATGAATGCACTGATTGGCATTTATACTTTCAGTTTTTTCATTCCTTGCCTTCCTAGTGGAAGTTTCAGTAGTCGAGGTAAGGTTTTCACGGGGTGGAAATGCTAGCCCCACACTTAACCTTCCTGCTCTTCATTGAGTTAACTACGGGCTAGTACACTCAATAAGATTCAATAGTGAGTCAGTGGGAATCAAATCATGACCACCTAATTGGCTGGTGTGGATTTTGTCACTAAAATTAAATAGTTTATCATACCTTTTTGTTAATGCGGAAGTTCTTGTATCATAGTGAAATCTCTACTATAGTGTTATCATATTATTATTATTACTCTAATATATATCTTTTCTAGGCTTTATTACTACGCCGTAAACTAGAAAAACAAGAGTTAAGTGATGATTCACAAACATCATCAGACCATCATTCAGGTAAACCGATAAAAAGTTATAGTCAAACACAGAAAGTTAGGGGTACACCACAACAATCATTCTGGGAGACACGTAATTCACAAAAGACATCAACTGATCGAAGTTATGATCATCGTTCCCATTATTCTCATTCTTATCATTCTCACCATCAACATCCACAACAACGACACTATCATCACCAGCGTAACCATAAACACGCAAAACACAGACTTCGTCAGACACGATCAATCTCAGATGATTATGAATTGAATGCAAAATATAGTCTTCCTAAAGATGCCTATCATAGTGATGAAGCTTCGCTTAACAGTTCTGTTTCAAGTGAATCGCTCAAAGAATCCGCCAATCGTTGGTTCCGTACATCTTCTTCGTATAATTTAACGACGGACTATCCAAATCGTCGATGGAGACCTCGAGGTGGTACAAGAAGTCATTCCGACAGAGGATATCCGCATGAATATCATAGATACTTAACTAATGAGAAAATGAATAGAAAAGAAGGCATACCACGTAAACAACTGCACAGTCTTTATGATAATGAAGCGTACCCTGTACATGTTGATCAACAGTCCAGTTATTCAAGTAAACATCCAAAGTCTTTCAAAAGTTTCACCTACAGTGGAAGAATATCACCAGATCCTAGACATGATATTATAAGCAAATATGGTACAAAAATATTACTGGATCACTACTATCCAGACAGTCGATATACAAAATATGATATGAATCCATTTTCCTCATCATCTAATGAAGAAAGATATCCTGAGACTATTTACAGTAGTCGAAGTCATCTCAGTCATAGAGATCGATATAATAGGCTTCCATTCTCTAATATTCTAACGCCTCAAACTTATCCAGTGAATACAAGAAGTCGAAGTACAAGTCCAAAGCATATTCATAAATTCAGTGTACCACAACAACCAACTAAAGTTACAGAAACAAATTATTTTAGTTTTCCAAATGTTCCTATCCACAGAACACCTAAACATTATCGGCCTTTAGCTATGGGTTCAGAAAGCCGACGATGGCCAATCAGACAAAGGGTAAAATGTCTTGAAACGTGTTGTCATACGCTAAGATGCCTAATATATATATATATATATATATATATATATATATATATATATAATCGTTGTATCTGTGTTGATTTCTGTTGTCGTCATCATTGTGTCGTCTTTTCCTTTCGACAGATAAACTTCTTGAGGCCCAACAAAGGTGCAGACAATACGAATTTAAAATTATTAGATGCATGCTGAGACAGTACTGTTATTCATTGAAACGTTCAGTGTTAGTGTTTTGTTAGCCAAACTCTTGATATAAGGCATTTCACCTGATTTGATGAGAATAGCAATCAAATAATTGAGATAATAATTTAGAAAGTTATGAGGTTACCTTCGGGCCTGTACAATTTTGTTCCGAGACGAACCAGCCAGCACTCTGTGACGAGAAAAAGCCCTTTTTTTACAGTCGTAAGCAGCTTTGGGCAGATAATTTTTAACCATTTGCGTGGAAACATAATTAGATACTTCCACCAAGTGTTTTAAACTTTATTTTACTTTTATGCATTCCAAATGGAAAGTAGGACTTCAGGATTGAGCTTTCAAGTTTTCGTAAAAGTGGGCAAGTCCAAACTTCGCCCTTTACTGGACTTAATTCCGTTTAGGCGAGGTTTAGGAGTGAGTTGGTGGGGCATCGAGTCCCCGACCATCCCATTGTCTTGGGGCTATGTCTGATTGTAAAGATTTTTCCTCCGTCGCTGAAATAGAAGATGTCGTCTTTAAAGTGATGCTTCTGCATTATTTCTGTCTCAAATAAGTACCCTGCATTCCCCTTGAGATGGAGATCTTATTATCGTTTCCGTTTTCAGTGTTTTGTATGCGATACATATAACGTGTATAGTTATCACTGTTGTTCGTGAGTTAAATGTTGTCTTTTAATATAGTAAAGCTGTAGAATTGATACGTTCAAATGTTCTTTCTACTTATCAAACTATCTTTTCTTTTTGTATTCACAGTATTACTCCGCTCATGCTAATCCATATGAGAATCTTTCATTACCAGAAATACGTAAGTGATAAACACAAAATGTCTTGATGATCTTTATTTTGAACCATAACTTGATTTGATTTTAATGACGTTGCCTACCATCGACGATAGGAGTCAGTTACCAAAATACTCTTTCCCTTCTAGGCGCTGATTATGGCGGTAACGACTTTTAGCAAAACTTCAATTCACGGATTACTCCCTGAAGTGTAACTAGCTTAGTTTGTTCAGTTAAGTTTGCATTATGGTCACTAAGATAGAAGATTCCTTATTGCAGTAGACTTTGAATATCATCTAGATTATAGTTTCATTGGAGGTTGTGAATACTCTTTTCTGACAAGTGCCAGAAGGCACAGAATCCTATCGATTTTCTCCAAATGCATAAAATCAAGACTTATCTGGAATGGAAGATTCCAGCTGGCATTAGTCAACAGTAGGATCAGAAACCTTACCATTAGTCTAAGCACACACAAAGATTTTGACTCCTCTTCGGAAGTAAATCATTTATAGTAACTAATCTTACGATATAGAAATGTAGGATCTCGAGCCTCACTAGAACTTTCTGCTGAATCTATTCGGACATTAAAGATTGTGCATCCTAATATCATAAACTGAGGTTTATTAATGTACTTCAACGTTCGCGCATTCATTTAGCTGTGTATCAGATATTTAGAAAATCAAAACAAGTGATTCAGCGAAGAGACTCATCTCAACAACGAATTTATCATCAAGCTGTACAATCGTATTTATATGGATTTTTAAGAAGTTATATCCTGTGAGAGAATTGAATCATAGGTGTGAATGCATAAAATAATAATACTATAAAATACGATTAAAAATGAAATGTTTGTGATTATACGCATAGTTAAATGTCAAGTGGCAAAGCGAATTAATGTCGTATATAGAATAATTCATAGGATGGATAGAACTTGAAAAAGGGTGTGCAATTATAGGATTAGTAGACAAATCGAATAAAATAAAAACGTTACGTAATATCTTGTGAAATTTGATAGCAGAGAATTTAATGTTGTAAAAAAGAATAGATTTAGAATGACAAGTGGAACAAGTGAAATAACACCGGGGACAGTTCAAAGTGAGAGTAGTAATAGTAACAATTGACGTAATAAGCAAGAGACTACAAACTGAATAGACAAAATGAAAAATCGGTAGAGCTAAAATATGATTGGGGATTGCCGTACTTTAGCATAGAGGGATTAAGACCATGAAAATTGGAGGGGTTGAACGAACTTTTTCTGTACATAGAGATCTGGCTTTTCTGTTTTGATAGCCAAAGATGGCTTCAGCAATGCAGAGCAGTTGGGTACGTAGGGATTTGGGTAAATTACTCTTTGCCTTGTAAATGACTTTAAAGGTGGAGGCTATAGACATAGAATGATCATTATCAACCAGATGTTCAATGATCGCGCTTCTTATTGCTACACTTCCACCTTTTCGTAACCATGCAAGATAGTGTTCTTGCACCCTCTTGGACAAAACTCGAGTCGAACGACCGATATACCTAACTCCACACAAGCAGGTAAATTGATAAACACACATAGAGTTGGTCAACAGCGAGATCTTGTCCTTCAGGTTATTGAACAGTAATGGTCTACTGGTAAAGGCTATTCTCAGAGATGCAGCGGATATTTAGCAAGTTCGTATACAACATCACCCACTGGCGTTGCAGATACATCCGGATGACGAGTTTCAAATAAGACAAAATATACATTCTGGATCCCACTGTTAGCTATCGTCAATCAAAATAAATTCATTTATCACCTAATAATCAAGCCATGTTAATGACAAGATTCTCGTCTCTTATAGGAAGACAATGAGAATACTGGAACCAGGTTCATCTGTAAAACAGGACAGAGTACACACTGACCAACTAACCGACATGATACACAGACTAAACAGACGAAAAACATGAAGCCTGAAAATGAGGGGAAAATACAGACTAAGACGCGAAAATGTGAGATGCAAGCTTAGAGTCTCATCATTTGTGTTCAGTAGTAGTAACTTCTCTAGCTTCAGCTCTGGGTGCCACAGGTTAGAATTTCACAAGCGACATGAGTTCTTTTTAAGCTTGATCATATGTATATATATACGCCTGACTGATAAGTGGCAACTAGAACAGAATCTAAGTCAAGCAAGGCTTCCTAACGACAGATTCGAACCACCTTATATCAACAATTCACAGTGTACCATGATGGAGAGCCATCTAGAACGGTGGCCACATTGCGACCTTGACTGATAGAATTCCATCTGCAGCTAACAAAGGACTAGGCAAGCACTTTTTTAGTTAATGATTAATGTCCAATCTAAACATCATTCGACAGTTATTATTATTATTGTATCCTTTAGTTCCTAGAGGAACATAGGGCTTCAGCTGCGCACCTCCATTGCCTTCGGTTTTCTGACAACTTTTTCACCCTGCTCCAGGTCTGTCCACATGCTTTCATCTCCTCCTCGCATGATCTCCTCCAAGTCACACCTGGACGACCAACTCGCCGCCTCCCTTTTGGGTTCCACTCGAGGGCCTGTCTAGTGATGTCACTTGATGGTTTCCTCAGCGTATGGTCAATCCATCTCCATTTCTTTCTGCCTATTTGTTTCACAAACGATTCCTGATTGGTTCGCTCCCAGAGATCCCTGTTGCTGATCTTTTCTGGCCATCTGATCTTGAGTATTGAGCGGAGACAGCTGTTAATGAAGATTTGGTGTTTGTTTGAGATGCTCTTTATGACTCGCCAAGTCTCTGATCCGTATAGTAGCACTGACTTCACATTAGAGTTGAAAATCCGGATCTTATTTTTGATGCTGAGTGCTGTTGACCTCCACACAGATTTGAGAGTAATGAAAGCTTGTCTTGCTTTTCCGATTCTGGCTTTGATGTCCTCGTCAGTTCCGCCTGTAGTGGAAACGATGCTTCCCAGGTAGGTGAAGGAGGTTGTTTCTTTCAGGTCCATTGAATTCTCATGGCCTCATTTACAACATTAAATAAAGAAATAGGACAAATCAGCACATATGTGTGCTGTAGAGGAGAAAATTAAATTTAAAATTAGACAGTTTTTTAAATGATAAATAGTTGATGCATCCGCTAAACTGTAGTGGATCTTTAGCTTAGTAACCAAGAATCACTCGATATATTAAATTCTGGCATCCTGATACACTAATTCAAACAGTCTCTTATGTCTGACACATTAATATGACTACCCTAAACACTTTAGTTCCCAAGCAAAATACAAGGGTGCATCATCCTGGATAAAATCAAACAAGCCACCCTGGATGAGAAACTTCCACCGGAATAGGCTGGATTTTTAGGAGAAACAAGTCATGTATTGATCAAATTGCCATACTACAAATCATCATCGAACAGAGCTCCGTATGTCAGTCACCTCTCTATCTCAACTTTATTGACTTCGAAGAGGCCTTTGATAGAGTCGATCAAGAGGTGAATCGGAAACTACTTCACTAATATGTGGTGCCGCCAACAACTATACATTTGATCCAACAGTTGTACGACAATGCTGCACGCCAAGTAATCCACAATTGGAAAATCATGGAATCCCGTGAAGTGAAGACGGAAGTAAGACAAGGCTGGCTGACTGCCTAATATCTCCAATGATTCTCCTTGTTGCGATAGACTAAATAATGTGACAGACAGCGGTTCGCAGCGAGGAAAGAGGCATGAAATGGACCCACACACACAAAAACGTGGAGGATATGGACTTCGCCGATGATATATGTCTGGTTTCCCACAAATATAATAATAATAATTGTATAACTGTTTCCAGTTCTACTTTATGAGATATGAAGATGCATAAAGAGAGTGATTAGATTCCTTACAGGATGCTTTTGGTAATCTCTTGCAAGAGTTCAACTGTCTGGATTAGGAGCACACTCGACACATAAACGATAGCCTTTAGTAACCTTTTCAATGTTACACTGGAGATCTTATTGAGTGATTTCAACGGTTATTCCATTCAGATTATACTACATGTGTGGGATTGGGAACAATGGCAATAGTCAGATTTTAAACAGCATTTTGCCCCAGCTCTGGTCTCTTCAGCAACACAAACCAGTTCATCGATGGCCACTGAATACAGGCCTGAAACTATACTGAGAAGTCATGACCATTTGAGTTCGGCATGTCAAGGTGAAGTGTATACTCACCGATGGGATTGCTGAAGGTAGGGTTAGATCGCCAGATAAGAAAGTTAGAATTCCCTGGTCACTGAACTCCATCCCAAGTCGGTGAGTAGTCAACGAACTTTCTCTCTTGTAACCTGAAGGTCTCTAGTTCAATCACTGACAGAGTCGTTCGTTCACACTGTTGAAGAATCCGAAACTTCGACATAACAAATGTCTAGTGCTCCACGGTTTTCAATAATCTTTATAATTGATGTGGCTTCACGCTCAACCGCCTCTCATTCTAGGCTTATTATCAGCTAGGCGAGATTCGGGAGGATATCCACCAGGTATCAAACTCCGGTGGTTGACAAGTATTGTCAGTAGAATAATTTGAAGCTCTCTTAGTCAACGCTGTTAAACTTCATGCTGCCTTAAAACCAACTGTCTCCTCGAATAAAAATCATGCTAAATGCTTATAGCCTAAAAAGTCACTCCCTCATATTCAAGCATTTATAATTTAACCGTTTCACTAAATATTTCCTTCAATATGCTACTTTTCGGCCCCCAGGCACTCGGTTTATTCCACCTCATTAATTACACACATTTAAGTGTGAGAGTAATTATTTGTCTTAACATAATATTTGTCAATGTACCATGATATTATCAGAAAAAATAATATATAAGTAGAAATGTGACAAAATAGTAATTAAATATGTCGACTGATAGGGGAATTCTTTCAAATCAATACGAATAATGCTGTTCACCACTTGCCTGGTTTCCATAGTACCCTAGCTCAAATAAATAGATACATTTGTAACCTAATTCATTCATTTAACAAAACAAAATCCATCGCTTCTCTCAAAACAATCTCTTCGTGAATAAACTCCTAT